GTTTTCAGCTAATTGCTCTTTGGGAATCACCTTGTTGGGGCAGAAATACTATTTTATCCCTGTAAACTGTGTTATTGTTGCCATTTTTATAGATATAGATTCTGACAGGCTACTATGAATAAAGTGTCTAAAGATCCTATTTGAATTTTGGTCTTTACCAAGTTGTCTGTTAAATGTAAACACATTTTGAGTTAGGGGAGTTTAGGGGGTTAAATCAGTGGTAAGTGGTTTAACAAACAACAAGTCCTCTGAAAATGGTAAGGTACAAGGAGCGAACTCCTTGGAAGCAAAGAAAATGAAAATGGGGAGTGGCTCGAGACTTTTACACAGTACTGTACATATTCATTAAAAAGAAATGACACAAATCCTGTTCCCTAACTGGAAGAGTTAACTGGCACAATTTTTACTTCTTACCCAGGGAGCTTTGTGTGGCCAGAAGTCTAATGTAACTGTGAAGAAGCAAACACCAACATGACCTCTTATCTCCACCCCATTTCTCTCCCTGGCAAATGAAAACCTCTGAGGAGATCTCAACTTCAAACCTGATGCCTGTGATGTTTAGGAGCGCACACAGTCCTATGTTTGTAGCAGCCTTTTTTTTTTCTCCCAATTTAAACATGACATGTCTTTGTGAGTTTAACTCCCCTCTTAGATTCTCACTTCATTAGCACTTTTCAGAGACCTGAAATTATGTAATTATGCAGAATAAACTGATGACAAAGTGACAGTTCAAACCGCAGTATATCGCTCCGTAGGTGTCCCTTATTCTAGTCAGTGAATCAGTGTGTACATGAGAGTTGGAGTGAGTGTGTGTTGGCCTGGGCTCCAGTGCTCTGTGTGTGGTCCCCGCTCCTCTGACTCACTGAGGCAGCCGTGTTACTGTAGGTTTTAAAGAGGCCCAGACGTGCATTACACACACACACACACACGCACACGCACACACACACACACACACACAGGACAGAGCAGAGCTAACCCAGATTCACTGCGAACACAAAGCATCAGCAGTCATCCAAATACCACAAGTGCACTCTCCAATTAGAGCAATATCAACAACATGGTGGAGTTTTGACCTTTTAGGTATGTGCTTTTTCTGGTATCCCGCCATAGTCAAAAGAAAAGAACGATAAGTGGATGAGCCTAAAATAATTTGACTGTGTGAGTTCTGTCCGTGTGTTTGTGTTTTTATTAACAGTATAGCCACCTTAACCAGAAAAGAGGAAGTTCAGACCATTATGAGTGTCCCAAAGGAAACTAATTTTGAGTTGTGCCCCTCCCTCTCTCTCCCACACACAGATATTCCGATGTCATAATCGCTAAGCCTTCATGTAAACAAATAATAATCCCACACGATTAATAATAAAGGTTGTGGCTGGTGAGCACCGTAAGACATTTTATTTTCACTTGAAAGTCTTATGTAATGCCTGCACATGTACATTCCAGTGCAAGGAGTGTTTACTCTGCATAACTGTGACCAAAAAACAAATGTCATCAGCACAGATCAGCCTGCACGTACACTTTCTGTACATCCAACATTCTCCATGTGTGACCTGCAGGTAAGTGGCTGCTCTAGAAAGCATTTTAAGCACCCACTGTTCTTCATTTCATCCACAGTTCATGTTATAATATAAAAACAAACGGTTGTATTACCAATATACATACTTTGAAGAGATGCATTACAAATGCTGGACATGCTGATGTTCTACACTTACACTCTGTGATCAGAACTTTGAGAAACCCTGATTTCTATTCCACTGTTAACACTGTTGTTGCAAAATGCATAGAAATACCATACCCATACATATTTCTTATTATTTCTATTTGTGTATCCTATTAGCTTGTGATTTCGTACCTATTCAAAGATAATGAAAAAGCTCATAACAGAATTATGCAGGGGCTGTTATATATGCAATGTAATTAAAATTGCTCTGAAAATGTCTGAGGGTCACCTGGGATCCTACACGGGGATGAAAGAATGCAAATATTTCATCTTTACTCCCTTCACATTGTCAATAAGAATAAATTACAAAACCCTTCTCACATGAGAGTTAACCTGTCAGACCGGAGACTCGGTGCTGTTTTGGGGTGGTGGTCCTCGAGATGAGAAACTCTGAGAAGGTCTGCCATAAGGCACATTCTTCTACTTGCAGAGGGGGATGGGAAGGGAGGTTTTGTTGCCCTGGCTTTCCCCCACCATGTGCATACCAGAGATACAAAAAAAAAACCCCAACAACCAGCAGACAGTGAGTGCAGCTCACAGGGACTTAACAAAAACCTCTCATCAGACACTTCACCCGGAGAGAAACACTTCTTCAAACTCATACAGAGATATAGGATAATTTATCACCTTATTTTTCTGCCACTATAAAAAAAAAGAGGGGGGTTTTGGAGAAGGGGTGGCGCATGTGAGCTGGAGATCCTATTACAGAGATCCAGACTTTTTCATGGCAAGTTTTTTTGGAAGTTAGGGGAGGGAAGAAGAATCTGCAACTTTCCTATCCAGCTTAAACGACACAAATGGATACTTTATTACCGCTCTAAGATCACCATCCGCGTTTTCAACACATGAGGACATTTTGCGCGGCGGTTAGATTTTGGATAATGAAGGAATTCGGGAAAACCCAAAAGGGATCGGATGAGAAGTGCAGAATGAAACAGTTTGGAAGGACTTCGGGAAAACTTTAAAGTTAGTTTTTTTTTAATTTACCATGCCGCTTTTGGAAACCTATCCTAAATCTAAAGAACAGAGCAACCCATCTTGGTCTTTCGGTACATTAGTTTGCTGAAGCACAAGAAAACAAAGTGATTTTTTTCTCCCTTTTTTGCGCAGTTGAATCCCCCCCCCCTTCCAAGATGTCTTCCAAGAGTTGGAGCTCCATTGTTGGATTTTACGGGATGCTTTGCATCTGGGCTGCCTGGCTTTCTGGCTGCGGGGCAGTGCTCTCTCCAAACGGGACGATATTTGAGGATACCTGCAAGAAAACCACAACTTGCGAGGTGCTTAAATATAACACGTGTTTGGGATCGCCTTTACCATACACTCACACTTCTCTGATCCTGGCGGAGGACTCCAGCACCCAAGAAGAGGCTTTTGAGAAGTTGACCATGTGGTCCGGTATGATTTGAAAATCATAATTCATATTTGCTACTTTAGTACGTTTGTCTTTTATGTCAGAGAAGTCAGTTTCTTGATACCGCATGTAAATAATTAAGAAAAAAAATTTTTGTAGTAACAATTAACTCATTTGGCTTTTTAATAAGCCGAAACTCTGAAAATTGGCTGTTTTTCAGTCGATATACCGTATATATCAGTATTTACTTTGTATTGTTCTATTGTGATAAGATGTTAAATGCATGATAATGGCCTGCTGTGACAATTCACAAGTACTCAGGAGGTTTAAGTAATGGAAAAGATCCTCGAGAGGAAAAGAGGGGTTAAAATCCATTAAAGGTAACAAAGGACAATCATTCAAAGGTGTTAAGAGCGGAAACAAATGAAGACCGGCTGATAAAAGGGTTTTTAGATATTCCGCAAGAAGACTTTGACCTTCATAAACTCTCACTAATGACCTGTCAGTACCAGGCCAGCCTCACAGATCTTAAAGAGTATCATTTGTCTCGATTTTTACTAATTTAGTAAATCATTCTTGTAAACAATAACAAAAAAAATTGCAGGTGAAGTCTGTAACCATGCCCGTACATAAGTGTTACACGGATGGAAAAATAAACTTTTTTAATTTGTAAATTTTTAATCCCAAGTTTTTATCATCTAGACTATAAACTGACCTATAATTGATGTCACGAAATCTCACTTTGTCAGACTGCCAAACCTCAAATCTACAATAATCAGAAACAATTTTAGCCATAAGACCTGTAAGACCTCTATGACTTGATGCAACAAAATTATAACAATTATGTATACTGTATACAGTATACACAGGGTGTTCAGTTACTGTTAATATGTTCGATTAATAATTCTATTTTGAAAACTGTGAAAGGGGCTATTTTGATATGAAGCATATATCTCTTATAAAACACATTTAAAACATATACATTTTATATGGGAGGGAATGTGGTAGTTTTCATTTTCAGTCACACAAAATGATTTTTATGTCATTTTTTTGTCCATATGCGTTTTATGTATTTTATATATTCATTTATTTATGTCTGAGCAACAGTCAAGAAAAGTATGCAGTTAACTACCTGCTGGAATTTGAATTGAGCCGTTATTTGTCACTTGCAGTTGCCTGCCAGCGAAACTGGCACTGCATCATTTGTGCAACTTAAGGAACTTGTGAATTGGCCATAAACACACAGTAAAAGACTGTCTGAAACGCAATAAATACAAAAAAAAAAATCTTATGTTTAATGTTCTGTTCAATGAAAAATGAAAAGAGCTCAACAGTAGCAACAATCTTACTACAAAATGAGAAAACACCACCAACTTAATGCTGCTTCCTTAGCACCTTATCCCTTCACATATCTGGAGAATAAATGTAATACGGACGCCTCAATATTTGTTTATTCATCATATGTTGTCATTGCAATATTGAACAAAACATTGAACATTGTAGATTTTTCTCATATTGTACAGGCCCACCTTCTCTGTTTTCCACTGACAGAGTTGTGGATTACTCGATTAATTGCTATTGTACAAATAGAACATGCAAATTAAAATAATCAGATTCAGTCAGTCATATTCAAAGTGAATAATTTCTTTTTCCCTTTTTGCACAACTTCTCTTAATATGTACATCTCCACCTCCAGCTCTTGGAAATTGATAGGAAGTGTATAACGATCATCACTGTCATCATCACTGGTCTCATAAATCTAACTACTCATGGGATCATTGTCATTCTTGTGGTGAATCTATCATCTCTAAGTTAAATGCCACAGGAAGTTTCAGTTTTGTTTTTGTGTCCTAGGTTTGCGGAATGCCCCTCGCTGTTGGTCGGTCATCCAGCCTCTGCTCTGCGCCGTCTACATGCCCAAATGCGAAAACGGCCGAGTTGAACTGCCCAGCCAGAGCCTCTGTCTGACTACACGTAGTCCATGTAGCATCGTGGATCGGGAGCGAGGCTGGCCCAGCTTTCTCAAATGTGACAAATTCCCTGTGGGCTGTTCGGTATGTTCAATTGTCATGTAATGTCATGTGAGACTTTTTTTAAAAGTCCGGGCTCAGAGGTCAGGGTCCAGTAAACAGCAATGATTTCAAACTGTTAGGCAGCTGTAAGACTACCCATTATATCCTCTGTTTGCAGAATGAGGTGCAAAAGCTGAAGTTCAACACATCGGGCCAGTGTGAAGCTCCTCTGGTGAAGACGGACATTCAGTCGAGCTGGTACAAGGACGTGGAGGGCTGTGGTATCCAGTGTGACAATCCTCTGTTCACTGAAGAGGAGCACAATGACATGCACGCCTACATCGCTTACTTTGGAACCATCACCCTCCTCTGCACTTTCTTTACCCTGGTGAGACAAACTATAACGGTATTCATTTTTGGGGGGGATTGGGTCACATTTAATTTAAGCCACATTCTCGCTTTGTTAATTATTTCTCTTTATTTTTCAGGCCACATTTCTTGCAGACTGGAAAAACTCCAACCGCTACCCAGCCGTCATTCTCTTCTACATCAACGCCTGTTTTTTTGTGGGCAGCATCGGCTGGCTGGCCCAATTTCTGGATGGCGCACGTGAAGAGATTGTATGCAAGAGCGACAACACGATGCGACTCGGGGAGCCCTCGTGAGTGCAAAACCTCAATCTCAGCGTTAAATATGATACGATTTCATGTGATTTTTTTCCCCTCCGCATGCCCCCCCACCCAAAAAAAAGAAAAGAAAAAGAAAAAAAAAAATCACAGAAATTCTCTAATCTTGCTCTTTTCAGGTCTTCGGAAACGCTGTCATGTGTCACCATCTTCATCATCGTCTACTACTCCCTGATGTCAGGTGTGATTTGGTTTGTCATGCTGACATATGCCTGGCACACATCCTTCAAAGCTCTGGGCACTACTCACCAGCCACTGTCTGGTAGAACCTCTTACTTCCACATGGTCACCTGGTCCATCCCCTTTGTCCTCACTGTGGCCATCCTAGCAATCGCTGAGGTGTGTATGAGGCTTTTCACTAAAATTCCTCATTCTTTGAGATTTTAAAATGTTTTACAACTGAGGTTGGTCAGTTTTATGATTCCTTTTGTCTATGCCTGGTTGTCTAAAGGTTGACGGAGACTCTGTGAGCGGGATCTGTTTTGTGGGCTACAAGAACTACAGGTATCGCGCTGGCTTTGTGCTTGCACCCATTGGAGTGGTGCTTGTTGTTGGTGGCTACTTCCTCATTCGCGGTGAGTTCCGAAGAACTGGTTTGTCATGTTTTGAGCTCAAAGAGCTAAAAAGAGACACAAACTGTCATAAAAGTTACTCTTTA